GCCTGAACATACTGTGTCACCCTAGAGATGGGTGACATTTGTGCCCTTTCACCATCTCCTGCTTTCCCCAAGCTCCTCCTGCAGCCTCCTCCCCTGTGCCATGTCAGAACCAGCCCTCAGCCCCTGGCTTTGGTGGGTGACAGTGATGCTCTGGGGAGCTGCAGTGGGTCCCTGCCCCGTTCAGGAGGGCTGGCTGCAGGTCAGGAGCACAGCAGCCTTCCCACGGACTTCAAAGGGGGCATCTCTGGTTTTCCAAGGGCGCTGCCTCCGAGTCTGAGACGTCAAGGATAGACCAGACCTGTTAGGTCACATCCCTTTCTGTTTTCCTGCCAAAGAAGGGCTCTTCTGCACAGGAATATGTCCCAGGAGCATTCATCTTGCCTTGCTTCAACTCCTGCCAGCCTGGGGATCACTGATAAGACCCATGAGACTCCGCAGAGCCCTTTGCAGACACAACTAACAAACATCCTCTGGCTGGAGCTCTGGTTCCAGCTCACTCTGTGCTGATGTCCCAAAGCTGAGGATGGTGCTGGTGTCCTTGCCTTTCTAGCAGACAGCTGCATTCCTCAGGGCTGGTGTGAAATTTCAGTTGCAGTTCCTTCCTAATTCCTTTTAATCATTACAGATTTTGCAGGCAAGATGGTGAGCTGTGCTGCTGCTCCCTAGAGACCAGTGAGGTCAGATAAGGGAAATATTTTCATTAACTGCCCAGGAACTCGAGCCTGGTTCCCCCTGGCTCTGGATGGACCTGCTCAGCTCACAGCTGCCCCATTAAAGCACTGAATATGTTCAGTTCAGGCATGGGGAGCAAGGAGGTGACAGAAGGGAAGGGTTTGGTCCTTGCCAGGAGCATGACAGATACCTGCTCACGTTCCTGCCTGCCAGAGTTCTGTGTGGAGGCTCTGTGGGAGCTGGCAGGGTTACACCTGCAGGGCCACACCAGCCTCAGGTGTTTTTCCCACCTCTAAAACACTCTCTCTGCTTTAAGTTGGATTTTGAAGATTTCTTGGCATCCAGGTGTGTCGCTGACACCCCTTGCTGCAGTTTGTACGAATCTGCCCCCTCTTTCCTGTAGACTTTGTGTTAAAGAAGAGGTCATACCAAAGTTACACACAGACACACTTGGGGAAGTTTTGGCTCTGGTTTTGAACTAAGTGGCTCGTTCCTCTCTTAATTTCCCATGTTTAATTCAAAAGGAAACATTAAAATGGCAGGAGCTGAGCCAAGACAGGGAGGGTTCCTATGAAATAGTTTTTCTAACACTGTTACCATGGCAAAAAAAACCTCTTATCTCTTAATGTTGGAGCCCTGCACCCATCACAGGAGTATCTGAACACCTCAAGGTGAAACTCTTCCCATGGGCATACAGGCAGTTTGGACATTGTTGCAGCAGTGTGGGAAAAGTGCTGTGTAATCCCAGATGAGGGTTTTGTCAGCTGTGCTAGCACTGAAATCTTCCTTGCCTTTTGTAGCAAACACGTCCTACAAAATAGTTTGGGTTTTGTTTTGTTTCTTTTTGTTTCCTTAAGAAAAAGAAAAATCCCAAAACACAAAAGAAAGAGCAAAACAGATGAGGAAAGGAGACATTGGCCTGCCTGCTCGTGTTGTAACTGCACAGCGTCTGTGCATCAGCCTCAAGGATTTCATGGTCTATTTTCCTTCCACTCAATTTAACTTCCCTCTTACTCTAATTCTGAAATTACTCCCACATTTCACTGAATCCTTCCATTTTAGTTTCCATCTTGCTTTGTTCTTCCCTGGTGCTGTTTGATCTGGGGTCTCTGCTTTCCCTGTGTTGGCGTCCAAAGAGCCCTGGGTGTTTCTGCTGCTGCCTGCAGCTCTTGCTTTCACAATAACTCAGCTCATTGCATCTGGGGACCAGGTACTGAGGGCAGGGGCATTGCTGGGAGCAACAAAAGTGAAGGCAGGGATTTAGAGAGAGGTTTTGTCAGACAAAAAGGGGCTCTGAAACAGAATCTCTGCGATGTCCCTGCTCATTGCAGAGGGAATATGGACTAGGGGACCTTTAAAGGTCCCTCCCAACCCAAGTTATTCTGTATTCCTTGTATTTTCAGGGGTATCAGTAGAAAGTGGTGTGTATTAAAAAAAGGCCATTTGAAGTTTTATGGCTGGTTTCTGGAGAGGCACCTCAGCCACATCACAGCTGCAATCCTGTGTTCAGTTTTGGGTCCCTCTTTACAAGGACATTCAGGTGCTGCAGCGTGTCCAGAAAAGGGCACAGAGCTGGGGAAGGGTCTGATGAGGAGCAGCTGAGGGAGCTGGGGCCTCAGCCTGAGAAAAGGAGGCTTGGGGGAACCCTCTGGCTCTGCACAACTCATGACAGGAGAGGGCAGCCAGGTGGGATTTGGTCTCTTCTCATAGATAACAAGTGACAGGACAAGAGGAAATGCCCTCAAGTTGTGTCTGGGGAGGTTTAGATTGGATATGAGAAAAATACCTTCACTAAAAATGTGGTCAATCATTGGAACAGGCTGCCCAGGGAGGTGGCAGAGTCACCATCCCTGGAAGTGTCCAGAAAATGTGTAGGTGTGGTGCTTGGGGACACAGTTTGGCTGGGTAAATGGTTGGAGCCCATGTCCTTAGGGGTGTTTTCCAGCCTAAAGGATTCTGTGTGTTGTGCAAGACATGGCCCATAGGGTCAACAGCCCTAAAATCCTCGTGCTCTTGGGAAAGGGTGAGCCAAGCAGCCAGTTTGGATTTCCATAAGCACCATGGCAGAGTGTTCCCTGGGGAAGAAGAAACCAAAGAGCTTGGCTGGGAGTGTGGGTCAGTGGTCAGTGTAGAGACAGGGGATGGTGGGTAGGGAAACTGGGCCAGTTCCTGCAGGGAGGGACATCATGACAAACCAGGATCTGACTCTGAGCTCAGCCCTGCTCTAAACAGGGAATGTCAGGTTCCACTGCCTGAAACTGTGGCTGTGTGAGCTGTGCTGAGGTTCATGACTCTGAGTGATGAGGTAATCATATGGCAGAAGAAATGAATACCACGCAGATAAAGTGGAGTGATGCATATGGAAAAACCCATACCAGAGTCCACGTGTGAAGTGATAGACCCTGAACTGACCATTATTTCAGAGAAGGGAGACCTTGGGGTTTCTCTAGATGGTTCAAGGAAAGTCTCAGGTCAGTGGCTGGTAGCAGTCACAAATCAAATCAGGAGTTAGGAGGAAAGGAACATTAAACAAAACACCGAACATAAGCATCTGTTAGATACATGCACCCACAGCATGAACACTTTGTGTTGTTCTGATCATCTCGTCTCCAAAGGGACTAGGAAAGGTTCAGGAAAGAGCAGCAAGGGTCATCAAAGATATGGGATGGCTTCCATAGAACTGTCTGCTGAGCAGGATTAATCTTTTTCTTTTGGAAAAGAGGCTGAAAAGATGATGGTGAACTAAAAAACATATGTCACACAGGAGGTGAATAAAGATCTGTTGTCCTCTCTTCTAATACAGAACTGTAGTACCTCAAGGGAAGACAGTAGGAGCCAAGTTCAAAACAAGCAAAAAGAGAAAAAATTTATATAGACTGGAGAGAACACTTTGCAAAAAGATGTTGTGGCTGCTCAAAATCAACAGGGTTGGTTCAGCTTACCAGCTTACCAAGTTCATAGTCAGAAAAGATCTATCGTGGATTGCTGAATTTGGGGATGGCACATCTCGCTGTAGTGATGGAGGTGATGGTAGCTGGAGACTGACAACACTTGGGGAAATCCTGTGTATGCCTGAGCTATCTCCTCCTTTGGCATCTGTGTGTGGCTGCTGTGGGGTTTGAGGAGGAGCTGAACCCATTTTACCTTCTGTAAAGTCAGGGAAAGCATTCCGGGGGTGATCCCATCTTTGTGTCCTTGTGGAGGAGAGAGAAGCTGAGGCACGAGCATGGCAAGAGGAGACAAAAATCCCCAGCCCGAAGCTGAGTGTGACACCCTAGAGGGCTGTGGAGAACGGAGGCTGGTGCAGAGGCAGGTGGTGGAGAAACACTGAGGTGTGCCAATGATTGATGATGTGAAGGCTTTGACAGGTGCTCAGACAACCTGAGGGGCTCGGATGGGTTTCAGATGAATGCACAGCTTCAGTTTCCTGTAGGCAAGAGACTCTTGCTCATTAAAGGCTGAGTGACCTTCAGCAATTTTGCAAACTAGAAAATGGGGTGCCCAAGCCTGTTGAATTCAGAAGACTTCTCTTTAAGCTGGACATATTAAAGTTTTATGCCTAAAATCAAGCGCAGAGGTGGTGTTTTTATAGATCATGATTGAAAAGCAACCAACCCTTCTGCAGCAAGAACCACATACTGCTCAGTTATTAGCCCCATTCAGTTTAGTTTGAATTGTTCAAATGTTTCACCTCACAGTAGAAATCTTTAAGGGCAAAGAAATAAATTGCAGAAGATGCACCCAGCTCCCTGAAACAGGCTCTGTTTTGGTCTCTTTTGTGGGGTGAAGTACCACGATGGAGTGTTGGAAATTAGAACAGGTAGAAATTACTGCCTGCTCAAGGTCCTGCTACTCAACAACATTGTGTTTTTGCATGGCTGAAAGTCACAATTGTTGATTTTTGAGCACAGAAATACCAGGTTGTGATATAACTGCTCATATCTTCTTATTGCCTTATTCTGCAAGACCTCTGATGACATGGGAGCTGATTGTAGGGAGTAACTTACTCAGGACAGGTTACTGGGAGGCATGGGGATGCAGGTTTCTGAGAAGCAGGGCCTCCAAGAGGTGACCTGAGCAGCAGGCAGATGCCCTGGGCTGTATCCTGCCATCACATTTTAAGCAGAACTGCCCTGCTGAAATCAAGAGGCTTCGTGCTGCTTTCATCCCCATGGAGATCAGCAGGGGAGTTCTTCTTAAAAACCTGTTGGGACCATGTGGTATTTTATCACTAGAGTTTCTATTTGTGTTAAAACTGCTAAGAAAATAACTGAGAGTTGTTTTGTCATGCTTCAAGCGAGATGTTTTGTTTATCTGGCCTAATTTTTAATTATTTCTTTTTCCCTGTTGCCCTTTCTAGGTTCCCTGCTATTCTTATGGTCAAAAGTTGTCCAAACTGGCCATCTTGAGAATAGCCTGTAACTATATCCTTTCCCTGGCCAGACTAGCAGACCTGGATTACAGCGCTGACCACAGTAACATGAGCTTCTCTGAATGCGTGGAGCAGTGCACTAGGACCTTACAAGCAGAAGGAAGATCTAAAAAAAGGAAGGTATGTTACAGCCTCTCCCCCAACTCACCCCCTAAAAAATGGTAAAAGTTACAAAAGGGAGGGGAAAAAAAAAACCAAAAACAAAAATCCAAAGTGGTTTCCTTCTTTTCTGAACCTTGTGAAATTTGCCTGATATTTTTTATCCCTCGCCTTTCTCTCTCTCTGTGTTTTTCTCCTCCATCCATCTGATCTTGTAATAACCACATTCCTCCCTAATCAAAAGCTTTTCTCTCCTCCCCGCTCTTCCCCTCGTTAGTTGCCCATCGTGTGTTTCAGCACGAGCTGATCCCATTAAGAGTCATCTTGGGACTGTTACTTGTTAAACCAAACCAACCTTGAGTCGCCTTTGGGAGCCTGTGAAACGCTGTCACCCTCCTGTGTTTTCTGTTTTGTTTAATCTCACACTTATCTCCGAGAAAAATCACCCGACAACAAAAAAAAAGGTAGCTGATGGAGACATTATATGTATAAACACATTAGTAAGATGTATGACCTGAAGGACATGTGGGTATCTTGAGGAAACAACGTTAAATCTAATTATGCCTTGCATTCCTTTAGGTTACTTAACACTGAACCAATTAGGTGAAATCATCGTCAAGCGGCGGGAGGAAGAAGCAGAGCGTTCTGCCAGTTTTCCTCTCAGAGAGTGACATGGCTGAATTAAAGGAGTGATTGATGTCTTTGTTCAGGCTTTTATGACAAAAAGAGTTTTGTAAACTTGAATTGAACTTCCCCCTGCTCCCTGAGCTTGCTTGTCAGGCAGGATAATAAATCAGCAGGATTTTAATGGATGAATGGGCAGCTAAGCTGGGGAGCAGGCTCCTTCCCCGGTGTTGTTAAGATCTGCCTCTGATTCGGGCAGGTTTCCTCACTTTTCCTCCTCTTCAGCCCAACAAATCATCCTGCAGCAGCTCAGTTTATAAATAAACACAATAGCACACTCCCTGTTGCTTCCTCTGGCTGTCAGGGGCTGTATTTATGCCCACGGAGCAGCAGTGCCAGGCAGAGAGAGGCACAGCACCACGTGCCCACAGCTGGCAGCTCTGCTGGGGCTGGGAGGTGTGGGGCAGCTCCAGGGCACAGCCCCACAGCCCCATAGGCTGGGGGTTCACCCTGGGCTCTGCAGTGCCACAGGCAGTGGTGTCCCAGGGACACTGAAGTGGTGCTGCCAACCCTGGGGCAAGCTGAGAGTTGGTTCTTGGGTTTCCTCTGCAAGTTAAGATGGAGGAGGAGAAAAGCATCATTTTTGGGGCTTCAGCTTGTTGCTGGTTGGGTCTAGGGACCACTCATCATGTCAAGAAGAGGATGAGCATCCTTTGTGAGGCTTTAGTAGATTGCTAGTTAGGTCTTGGGTGCCCTCCCAAAGTCACAATGGAGGGAAGGAAGAGAATGGGCATCCTTCATGGGGCTGCAGCCCATTTCTGGGCTGTTCTTCAGGCTTTGGGTGCCCAGTGGGCTGAGACCCCTTGTCCTGGCATATGTAACCCAATGCAGGCTTAAAGACAGGAAACAAGGAGCCAGATTTTAAGTGGCTCCAAATCCCAGGGTGTTTACATCTGAGGGTTAGAGCTGGGCCCATCCTTAATTTAAAAATTCAGTGAAGATTTAAAAGCCTTCCATTTACGGTGGTTCCCTTCAGAGTGGATGCATGGAGAAAAGCCCCAAGCCAACCAAGAGTGCCTGAACAATGGAATTCTACCAGGGCACTCTCAGGCACCACCAACCCACAGAAACAGCATCACCAGGAGAAAATCTGCCTTTTCTCCACGTTCTTGAAGGACACCCAACCTGAACCTTCTCCAAAAGCCCCCTTAGAAAAGAAAGCCAGGCTTGGTACCCGAGGCAGGGTCTTAGCCCCTGCTCTGCCTTGCTTTTCTTGCGGGAAATTATAGTTCTGCTGCCAGTTTAGGGCAGCCCCAGAGCACACAGATTCCCTTAAGGATGACAAGTACAGTTTAATTTCAAGCAGTATTTGCTCAGGGGATGGCAAGAGCTCATCCAGCTGCTGATGAAGCCAAAACCAGCAGGTACCACTGAGTAACTCTGGTAAATCCCAGAAGATGGGAGTGGGGATGCAAAGCCTGGGTTGGGAGGGCTCATCTTGCACATCTCCCTTTCTCCTTGAGCCCAGCAGATGGTGAGCTCAGGGGAGGAAAAGGCTGTTGTCAGAGGGCAGTTACAGATGTGGGATGGCTGTGCAGCTGGTCCAGGCTCTGGGTGTCAGGTGGGGAGGAGGGATGTCTCTCCTGGGGGGTCTCACACGGGCAAATGGATGAGCATACAATGGCTTGGCCCAAAATCACCGCCATTCATGTTGAGATCGGCACGTTTCTGTGAGCTCTGTGTGGTTTTAATCAGGTCTCTGAAACCACTGCTCACTGAGCAGTTCCTCTGAATTATCGGCTTTGGGGCGGTTGTTATTTTGTTACTGTTTTGTTTTGAGTTTCCTTTTATATTCTCTCTTAAAAAAATCCCAGCGATCCTGAGCACAGACCTCCTTGAGCTGCACCTTAGGTCCACAGCACCCTTATCTCCTGTCATCTCCATTTTATTGTGTGTCTGCCTCTCTCTCAGCTCGCTGGTTGCAATGTGCTGTGGCACCGTGATCTTTTCACACAAAAAAGTAGCTGGTTGGAGTTTGTTTTGGCAGGCAGAGACTCCAGATGTTGCATTTGCTGGAGTGTGCATTGCCTTTTGCTTTGTTTTTGGGGGCAAATTATCCCGTGTCCCTAACGCTAGGTTGTTGTTCATATTTTGCTGTTGCAATCGGAAATTTACTGAGTGGTTTTACCCCCTGCCCTTTCTATTCCCATTTTTGTTAATTAGAAAAGTTGGCTTTAGTTTTTCAAAGTTGACTAGAAAAAAGAAAATCCCCTTTTCTGTCCTGACTACAGTTATAAGGTGATTTTAGTTCTTGCAGTTGAGGGTGTTTGGTGATGGGAGATCTCATGTATAAGCAACAAAGGAGGCTTCAGATGCCTTTTCTTAAAAAAGAAGAAAAAAAGCTGACTGTGGGGGGGTGGTGGTGGCGAATTCTGATGATAGTTTTCATTCTTTAAAGCTGCCTCTTGCTTGGTTATAAATGATCTGGACTAAGCCTCGTCCTTAACCGTGCACCCAAGAGTTGCACCACGCTGGAGATCTGGGTTGCAACACCCTCAGCAGAGCCCCAAGTCCTGCAGGGGCCACGCTGATGTCCTGGAAAAAGGGGGGAATTGCCTTCAGCTCCGGCCAGGAGCGTTCTGCAGCAGCACAGAGAAAGGAAAGGCAGCAGCAGCAAGAGAAAGGGAAGGCCAAGTTTTCCTTACCCCCAGGGTACCCCATTTCTGCATGGCACAGGATCCTCAGTGGCCAGGGGGTATCTGAAAGCCTCACAGGGATTCTTTAGTGTTTGGGGTCCAGCTTGCTGCTCCCAGAATCTCTTTTTTCCAGGGCTGAATTCTGGTGTCCTGCAGGAAAGCAGCTCAGGCTCAGGATAAGGGTGTAGGGTGCACGGCTGGGGGCTCTGCCTGTTATTTGTAGGGTGCAGAGCTGTGCATCAGAGCCCCCAGCCCCACAGGATCTGACCCCAAAGCTTGGGGCAGAACTTTATTCACAACCACAGTCACTCAGTGCACACAGAGCAGGATCCAAGAACAGACCAACACCCAGCACCCAAAACCCCAAACATCCTTGGCAAAAGATACCCCATTTCTGCATGGCTCAGGATACTCAGTGGCCAGGGGGTGTCTGAAAGCCTCACAGGGATTCTGTGGTGTCTGTTTGGGGTCCAGCTTGCTGCTCCCAGAATCTCTTTTTTCCAGGGCTGAATTCTGGTGTCCTGCAGGAAAGCAGCTCAGGCTGGGGGCTCTGCCTGTTATTTGTAGGGTGCAGAGCTGTGAATCAGAACCCCCCAGCCCCACAGGATCTGGCCCCAAAGCTTGGGGCAGAACTTTATTCACAACCACAGTCACTCAGTGGACACGGAGCAGGATCCAAGCACGGACCAGCACCCCAAACACCCGTGGCAAGGCTCCTTTCCCTTCCCCTCGGGATCAGCCCCGTGCTAGGCCGCAGCGTCGCCGCGGCCATGGGAGCCCAGCCGGAGCAGGGAGCGATGGGTGAGGGATATTTTCTCTCTCTCTCTCTCTCTCTCTCTCTGCTCCATCCTCCCCCCGTGGCGGCTCTTCTGGCAGTCTCAGACTCCAGATGTTCGGAGCGCGAGCTGGGAAGTCCTGCTGGCGCCACTTGGGGCAGAGGGCAGGGGAAAGGCACGCGAGCTGGAACCCGGAGTACTCAGTCACTGCAGGACTTGGCGCATTCCCCAGCTCGCTGCTGGCACATTCCCCAGCTCTCTCCTGGCCATCTGTTCCAAAAAAACACTTTCAGAACCTCATCATCACTCAGGATACAACACTGCGAGCAGCTGTTAGCGAGGCAGAAGGGGAGGAAAAAAAAAAAAAAAAAAAAAAAAAAAAAAAAAAACACACACACACACATTAAAAAAAAAAAAAACCAAAACCATGCGAAAGGTCTCTTTGTGAGAGAGGAAACTGGGTTATGAATAACAGGCGAGCTGTTGGAGCTCAATAAAAGTTTTCGGCTGGAATTTAGTTTCTTGTTTTTGTGCCTGTGTGTGTGGATGAGCACAGACGCAAGGAATTAAAAATTAAAAATAAGCTGTGTATATGTCTTTTCCCAGATAATTAAACGATATAGAAACATATATGGAACAAAAAGCTTCTCTGTTTGTTGCAGCCTGCTGCACTAAAAGGGCTGACATTATGTATGTCATTATTGCATTATATAAAATAGTTATTGTGGTGTTGTGCCATGCCTTGATGCCCCCTCATTGCTACTTTGCTAAAAGCAGAGCTCCTGCTGTAGGTAACACTTATTCCTGCTGAAAAAATTAGAAGGAGGGCGTTCTGCAGGCGTATTTACCTGCAGGAGTGAACAAGTTAAGGGTTTATATTATAAAAGAGAAATGGTAGTGGCAGACTTGATTTGTACAGCACTGAAACCATTTGCTTGGAGCATATTTTTTTGATAACACTGTATCATGACTCGTGATTTATTTTGACAAAGCCCCGAGATAAAGCCACAGCTCCCACCCCCTGGTTTGTGCAGCTGATCCTGGCTGCAGGGTCTCGCTGTTATTGATCATCTGATATTGATTATCAGAACCATTCAGAGCCAGCACAGTAAAACCTTGATGATCCGCATGGCATTTCTTCCTCCTGGCTTCCCATCCTGTGTGGGGAGGAGGGAGGGGGTCTCATAATGAGATTCGACCTCCCTTTCCCCTGCAGTTTGCCTTAGCAGAGGTTCCTCTTTAAAAATAGCTTCATTTCCCTGCTCGGACTTGCCGGCGAGCGCGGGCAGCCAGCCAGTCTGATCCCCACGGCCGCCAGCTCCAGGGAGGAGCTGCACCACAGGAGAGCCCAGCCCGCCCTGAGCCGCCTGTCCCTCTGTCCGTCTGCCCCGGGACAGCATCCCCGGGGGCACGGAGGGGGCCTGGGTCTGCCCGGTCATGGGTTATCCCTGCTGCGTGCAAGATGAAGGGTTACCCACCCAGGGACCTGATAAACAGGGCAGTGAGAGGGCAGTGAGGTTAATTTGTTTATTCCTTGTGCCTTGTATGTCCTGCAGCCCAAAACAAGGATTGCAGGTGGAGCACGGGTGCTAAGGCTTGTGAGGAGATCATGAGCAAGATCACCCAACTCTGGACAGGGTACCCCAAGGGCACTGCACACCCTGCATCAGCCCACTGGGGCACTGAGCATCAGGACCCCAAAGAGCAGGGCCCAAAGCTTTTCCTTTCAAAAGGATGTGATATGGGACTCAGTACCCCAAAGAGCAGGGCCCAAAGCTTTTCCTTACAGAAGGATGTGATGTGGAACTCAGTACCCCAAAGAGCAGGGCCCGAAGCTTTTCCTTACAGAAGGATGTGATGAGGGACTCAGTACCCCAAAGAGCAGGGCCCAAAGCTTTTCCTTACAAAAGGATGTGATATGGGACTCAGTACCCCAAGAACAGGGCCCAAAGCTTTTCCTTACAGAAGGGTGTGATGTGGGACTCCCCTGTTCCATCACAGCACCCCAAAAGCCCCTTTGCGTTAAAGGGTGTTGGAACAGTCATGTCAGCAGTCACAGCACAGGGATGGGACTGGGGATTTGCTCCCTTGGTGGGAGCAGGATCCAGCATAGGATCCATCCCCTCTGTAGCAAGGATGTTGCCAAGAATAGGGTAAGATCCCCCCCACAGATATTGGGTAACTGCAGCAGAAGGAAGATGTGAGTAGAAGAGACAGGAGAAGCCCTGGAACAAAGACTGACTCAATTCCAGAAGTGCTTTGATTTATGGAGATTGAAATGCTCCAGGATGCTGCAAACTCACCAAGGTCATTGGGCCAGTTGTCAAATTCAAGAGCCATGGGAGTTCTGATGTTATTAGTTTAAAGCAGACCCAGGCTCATAAATCTGTCTTCAGAGCTCCTGGCTGAGTGAAAAAGGGTGGAGGGGGAAATAAAAGCCTCTTCCCACCACACATAACCCATGGCCAAGCGCTGGGCAATGCCTGGGGACCCATCCAGTGGTGCCAGTGAGGTGTGCTGAGCATCTCCATCGTGCTGCAGGGGGATCTCTCCATTCCCCTTCCCATTTCCTGTGTCTGGAAGGCGCAGCACAAATGCCCTGGCCTGGTTTGTGCATATTCCCTCCTGTCCCCCCATGGTTGATCTTCCTCAGCTGCAGAGACTTCAGAGCAGAGACCTGGCCCTGAGACTCCTCCTCCTAAAGCCATCCTGCTTCCCCAAACCCACAAATGCTTTTGATCTCTCTGCTGTCTTTTAATATTGATGACAGCAGTCATTGCTTCCCTTCTTTCACATTTTCTTTCCATAGGTAAATGTGGGATAAATTAAAGAACCAACTTTTCTATTACAGGTTATTAATACACATTACATATTGTTGAAGGGTCCCAACAGAAACATTGGCAATGCATAAGGCTGTTTGTTATTCTCCCACCTGAACCTCATTTATTCAAAATCCCAAATAAAGCCTTGAATCAGAGAAAGTTCCTACATTTTCTCTGAGGAGCTCTAGGTAGGATTGTCCAGAGACAACTCCAGGAATCTGGGGTCCAGCAGACACCAGCATTTATTGCATGGAGGATGACCTGGGTGTTTTTAGTGAAATATTCTTATCAAGAGAAACCTTGATGGTGCTGGGGCAGTCCTGAGCTTCCCTGGGTCTGCACTTGACAGGAGGGGGTGAAAAGGTGGATTTTAGGTTCCCCTGTCCCTTAGCCTGTCATGGATGACCAGCTGTAATAGTTGATCTCACAGCAGCTGCCCTAATGATAGCCATAAATCAAATAAATACCAGCAGGTTGCCAGTATTTTATACCCTGATGTTACAATGTCCAGTGATGGAAAAGGACAGGCAGTGCAGAAACAAAACAGACTGGGGAAGAAAGTTTTTCAGGCCAGGCTTTAAGGAGTTTGACCCTGTTAGGACTGACAGAAATGTGGCTGACCTGTTCAGGGAATTGGTGACTGTGTCCAAAGGACTTTCAGAAGCTGTACTACACCCTGAAAGGTTCTTAAATCCACTGGCAAAAAGCAAGAAATGCTGGTAGCACTAGCTAAATGTGATCTCATTTCCAAGTTTCTAATTCCTGAGTTATTTAAAAGAGGATTTAGGGCCCACGTGATGAAGGCAGTTTGGACAATGGGGATGTGATCTCATGAAATCCTCATGCCCTGAGGATTTTCTTCTGTTTTGAACTATGTTAACCATTGTTTGTGGGATATTTGTGGGGCTTATTTTAATGCCGAAGGGGGTTTAGATGAGATTTCCTTGTCTCAAGCTGCCATGGTTTGGAGTTGACCATTTTTCCTATGGACCTGGCCATAATATTCTGTAGCCCACTGTAATTTCCCAATTGCCACAGCTGTGACAGGCACATGGGACAAGTCGCAGTCCCACAGACCGAGCAGCTATGCCTGCAGAAAACTCAATGCAACAACTAAAATGTGCTGGAAAGCCCGTCTCCTGCTTAAACCCTCTAGCTGCCACTCCTTTGCTTTCTGAGATCAGCTCCTGAACTGAAAATAGCAGATAATTGCTATCACTTCTAATTACTTTTTTCAGCAGGAGTTGGACCCAACACCAAATTACTGTGTTGTTTTTCTTCCCCAAGCCTTCCTCTTGCTGTCTGCCACTCCCTGTCCTCTGTGCAGGCTCTGGCCTCCGCTGTGGCACCCACGGGTGGTTCCAGTGTGAGCCCAGCTCTGGAGCATTGCAGATCCAGTGGTCCCCAAGGACACCGCGTGCTCACTGATCTCATGGTGCTTCTGTCTCCTTCCAGGAGTAACAACCAGCAAGGGAGGATTCACAAGAGCTTCCAGCCAGAGCTACGTCTGGTCTTGGCAAAGGTTGCACGATCCAGATGAAGACTGAAAGCAGCTTTTTTGCAGAAACCCCTATTGGAGATGACGATTGGCCAAGGAACTTTCTTAATCTCTGGAACAGAAAGGAAAAAAGGAAAAGGAAAGGAAAAACAAAAGGACAGGGATGCTTCTTATTGTTGTTAAGCCAGCCACCTTTTCGTACGTGCAATTTATTTAGCACTTTTCCCTTTGCTTAACTGGGAAATGTTACCCTCTCAGCTCATGTGTACAGTAATTTTTTGTTGTTGTTGTTGTTGCTGTTGTGCCAAAGATTTGATGGAGCTTCTACACTGTGTCTTATTGTTGCCTTAATGTTAAACCTTTGAGCCAAAGAAAAGTCAGAGGAGCCATTCAGATCGTGGCAAGCAGGCCAGCCAGCTGTGGGTGACAAAGCCCAATTTCTGTACCCTTCTGCGAGTTACCTCTTATTTCTGCAGCCTGCACTTCCCTGGAGCTAGCATTTGGTGTGGGCAAGAGCTGGGACAACACAAAACCATTCTGTGGTGTTCAGGTTTGCTTCTTCCTTTGAGCTACTCTGTAGTTCTGCCTTTTGGGCAATTTCCTGATGTTCCTGCCTGTGCAACACATCCACAGGGTGAAAGTACTGACACGAAGTGAGAGCTGAAACAGGAGCTATGAATTTATTTTTTTTTAATAAAGAAATAAAATTAAACAAGCAAAAGCAAAGTGCCATGTAAAGCAAAGAGAGAGAGAAAAAAAAAATAGAAATCATAAGAAAGTTCAGCCAGGCAGAAAGAAGTGCAGCAAAATGATTCAGCCGGTGTTTCAGGTTTGTGAAGTCGTTTTTTCCATGGGGTTTTTCAAGTGGTCAGAAACCCGTGTAATGCAAAAGCATTTGAATCCTGTACTGTACCTTTCACTTCAAATTGAAGTAAAAAAAAGAGAGAAGAGATGGAGAAACATTTGCTTGGAGTAAGCAGACTTTATAGGTAATGCAGTTCGTATGCAGGACATCTGCTAATGATGGAGGGACGGAGCTCTGTGTTCAAGTAAAAAATATGAGTTTCCAAACCAAGAAGATTAACATGTTTTGTTAATCTCAGGGGGAAATACTGTTATTTGTGAGGCCAGATTCGCATCCTGGCCCTCAGTGTGAATCAGGTTCCCTCCCCTGTGTCTGACTTACTCCAGTGGGGTCTGGCCCAGCCCCGCCAGGCACTGGGGCAGGCAGGAGGCACTGGGCAAGGGAGGGAACAGTCTCTGTTTTACTGACGTGAACATGCAAAACTGGAGCTCCTCAGTGCCTGCCTGCTCCTTCCCCAAGCTGAGCAATGGGCTGGTGAGCCCCGAGCTGGGGAGCTGCTGTGCCAAACCTGTCTGGGGTGCCAGGCTGCTCAGTGCCAGCTCCCCTGGCTCCCAGCGAGCTCGAGATGTCCTCTGCCACATTTCTGGGGCACGTGGGACAGCTGTGTCCAAACCCCCTCCCAGGAGCTCATTATATGGCTCCCCCTCCACTCTCACCGCTGGTCATTATTAGCAGCCCAATAAAATACATTTTTAGATTGTCATTTGTATTTCTTTATTAAAGCACAGTTTTTAACGATGTCTTTTATTATATACATTAAAGCCAGATTTTTAGCTTGTAATGGGGAGAGGGGCTGAGCTCACTGACTGTGGGAAATGCTCCAGGGCTGTTTGCACTCATGTCAAAGGACTGGGTTTAAAGTGCTTTTGCTTTCAAGAACCAGCAAGCAACTGGACCTTGTGTGTGTGGCCCAGCCAGAGAAAACAGCGAGAAAAAGGGAAATGGAAGGCAGTAGGGGGAAAAAATGAAAGAACAAAACAAAACAACCTCACAAGATGACCTAAAGGGAGAACAGTAGGTTTTGCCATGAACATGCTGCAATTCTCCCATCTGGGTTTTGAGCAAGAGCAATGGAGACAGCCCCAGGTTGTCCTGGTACACACAGGAAACCCTGTGGGCATTTCATTCTTTGAGCAGAGTGAAGCATTCCCTGAGCATTTTTAATTTGAGAAATGCCATCATATTCTAGTTATGAGTTCTGCAATGGCTCTCAGTTTGGGTTAATAATTGTCAGTAAAGCAAGGTCTGCAGGGAGAGCCAACGATACAATACTGCTGATAGGCTTTATTTACCCTTTTTTTCCCTTTCAATGCCTGTTATAGATAAGGAATTTGCTGCAAATACGTAAGTCACAAGCTGGACAGCATCACTGGATTGCAACTGGGGCTTGAGGTCACACAGTATTTTTTGTCCCCCTGATTAGGGAAATATTAACCCTTGGGATTATGTTGCTCACTTAAAAATTCCCAGATTCACTTTCCTTAAATATTCCCTAGTATTCCCAGATGGCAGGGAGATGGCAGAGAGAAAGTCCCTAAAAGCTAAAAAATTAAACTGGTTTGCCTGATTTAGTGAGCAAGGCTCTGAAGAGGATGTGTGGGTGCTTTTGAATCTCACACAGGGAGGTCAGGCAAGGTGAGAGGAGCAGCAATGCCACCCCTGCCACTGCCCCTGCACCTCGGCCCAGCCCCACCAGCCAGCCCTGACAACAACAAGAAGGATAAATGTTTACCAAAGGGTGGCAAACATGTGGGTTTGAGCGCTGCCATGGAGCTTTCATGGGCAGTGGTGTCAGCTGAGGTACAGAGCTGACCTTGCCTCGCTCCTCCCCTCCCCGAGAGGTCTCTGTCTCTGCAGATAACAGGGGGATGATTTTGTTATCATGCTGGAAAAGCAAAACAGCCCTCGTGCCGTCGCCTCCCTGCGGCCAGCAGAGCCAAAACCTTTGCTCCCAGTTGGCGCCGGCTCCCAGCTCCACGTATTGGATGGGAGGGCACAGGAGCCTTGCACACACAGCCCACAAAGGGTGCCAGCCCTGCTCACTGACCCTGACCCACTGTGGGACCAGGGGGATGATGTTCACTGTGTGAAGGGGAGATATTTGGGTTTTTCGCAGATGCTGAATGCCACATTAGACCCAGATGCCATATTAAATCAGAATTCATACACCAACACAGTAACATTGCCTGGCTGTAAAGCACTGCACCCACTGCAAAGGTGCCAGTTGTGGTGGGTGAAGGGCATCAGCTCTTCCCCTTAATTCTGATCTAGCAATTGCTGAAGGAATTCAGTGGCCAAGTTTATACCAAACCAAAGGATCCTCTTATAAAAGTGACAACACTGCCAACACTTGTTCAAAGTACTGCTCAGGATTTGCAGCAGCAGTCACCTTTTACCTGCTTGTTAAATAATGTCCTTGCAGCTGCCAAGTCCTTCTTGCACAAGGAGCTCTGTCCTGCAGACACCCCTAAATCCAAACTTTTTCAAGCCAGGTTTTGTATGACCACTTATATAACACTTGAAGTTGCCAAGGGTTGAAAGGCAGTCTATGAAGGCTGTCCATGAAGTCTCAAAAATGTGTGGAATAATCTGCCCCATAAAGCCAGATTCCTTTCTTTTGAGGGTTTCCTGTTGCTCATGGTTGGTGGGGTTAGTAGAGATGCAGAGGAGAAATATGACTTTTTCTTACCATTTCTATCCTTGAACACTGAACCCAAAGTGGCTTTCAGTGTTGGATGTAACCATTATGACCCAAAGAAACAGCATGGAGTTGTGTCAGGGGATGTTTAGCTTGGATATAAAGAAAATGCACGTCACCCAGAAGATGCTGGGAACTGGAACAAGCTCCCCAGCAAAGTGGCCACAGCACCAAGCCTGGCAGAGTTTGAGGTGTTGTTGGGATAATGCTACCAGACACACTGTGGGCTTTTTGGGCTTCTCCTGTGTAGGGCAGGGAGTTGAGCTTTGATGATCCTTGTGGGTCCTCCCCAGTTCAGGATATTCTATGATTATATGATTTCTAGACCAACACAACCACATTTGTATAACAATGCTCACCAGGCTCAGCTGAGCATCTCCTCCCTCTTGCCCCACATCAATAGAAATACTCAGGCTAACCCATCAGTCTTTGCATGGCTGGGTAAAATCCCTTTGGCAGGCTGGTTCTGGCTGCCATGGTTCCCATTCATCATCTCTTCTCTAACTAGGATATCTCCATACCAAAATATGGCCAAAACAGAAACTTTCTGCCCAAACCAAGGTGGCCAAGTGCAAACCAGGTCCTGTTAATAACTCCCAACAATGTGCCCCTGAGGACATGCCTCAGGGCACACCCAAGCATGTTGGTTTTTTCTCCTCCTGTTGTCACTTGAAGTGCTCTGGAGACCAGTGCAGAATGAGAGTGGCTGGCCCTTGTCCTGCTGCTGTGGAGAATGGGGGCTCAGCATTGTAAATCCAGGTTAGTGTTGGCAAAGGTGCTGGTGGGCTGCTGCAGACAGAAAGCAGGTTAGCCTGTCAGCAAAGGAAGCAAATCTCAGCCTAAACTGTGCAGCAGATATAAATATGTAGATGTTGAAACAAAAATCACTGCCTGAACTTTTTGATATAGTAGTACGGGAAAAAGAAATCTGCATTGTTTCTACCCTCCACCTCGTGCTGAGATGGGGCATCTTGGAGTCTGGGACAGCAGTGCTAATCAACCCATTAACCAATGTGCATCAACCCAAATCACACATAAAGCCTCATAAACCCACATGTATGAACACAAATGCCTCACAGAGTTGCATGCAAAGGTCAGGACTGGCCTTGAACCCTTCCTGTGTCCTTAATCCCCACCCAGGGCTGTCTGACAGATGCCAGCACCAACACCTCCCTACAAGCCACGTACCTTTGGCAGGGATCACCTTTTAGGGGAGCTCTACTGTGACTCAAAGCACTTTTATTACAAATCCTGGGCTGAGCCCAGCTTTTCCAAGCTGGAAGGTGAGACACAGCCTGTGACAGTGTTCACAGGGGTTTTCAGGTGAGGGAAGAGACGAGGATTTGACTCCATGTTTCAGAAGGCTTGATTTATTATTTTATGATATATATTACATTAAAATTATACTAAAAGAATAGAAGGAAAAGTTTCATCTCAGAAGGCTAGCTAAGCTAAGAATAGAAAGGAATGAATAATAAAGGTTTGTGTCTCGGACAGAGAGTCCAAGCTAACTGGGCTGGGATTGGCCATTAATTACAAACATCCAAGATGGGCCAATCACAGATGAACCTGTTGCATTCCACAGCAGCAGATAACCATTGTTTATATTTTTTTCCTGAGGCCTCTCAGCTTCTCAGGAGGAAAAATCCTAAGAAAGGATTTTGAATGAAAGGATGTCTGCAACAACAGCTCACCTGGTGATCTGCTGCCTTATCTGCCTTTGCTGCTGCATTTATAGGATTCCTTCTCTCCCTCCACAACTCTGGGGTCTTGAAAACCATCTCCTCCTTCCCATAAATAACTAGGAGATCCATCATCAAAGCAAGAAAATGTGGATTCCTCTTCCTGGGTGTTGATGAATCAAATTCTCATATATAAACTATAAAGAGAGGGTTCCCACCTTGGTTTTCTTGGATGTGGTATTTCATGGACTCAACCATATTTCAGTGGAAGTTTCCTCTCTCCTGCCCCTGCCCTGCTTCATGTCACAGTGGCACCAATTACACTGCAGCTGTAAGATGGGCATTGTCGTTATTAGTAATTGTATTCACCCACTCCATATAAAAATATCAGCAAAGGAACATGAATGATTTGTGTAATGATATATTTGCTGTTATTAGGACCTAATATGTTATGCCTGTAATTACATACTATGCCCCATATAATAAGCTTGGAATTGCTGTGTAAATTTTGGGTAATTGAGGAAAACTGTGCTACAAACAGGTCCCCCTAGACCAAGTTCAGCATTCACTACCAGGAAATAACCATTATTAAAGGCTCTGCAATAGACAAAACACTGGACTAGGAGCTAAAAGCCTTGGGATATGTAACAGCAATGAAGAGAAACAAATAACCAGTGCAGGAGAGCAAGAGGAGCACCGGTCCAGGCAGTGCCATCCCTGGGGAATATTTCTTCTAACTCTGGTTTCAGGAATACTCCAGCAAAGGAATTTCCAGAGGGTGCAATGGGAGCTGCAAGTAGCATAAACCCATTCAGATGCAACTGTTTCAGAGGATTTAGAAGCCATGCTCCTCATTACAAAGGAAGTTAAAATGCTCACATCTAGATTAAAAGTCTGCCAGAGGTCATCACAGCTTAATGCATAGTCAGGCTTTTCTGAATCGGCAGGAGACATTGACATTGATTAAATTTATCCTCTCCTTCACAGGCCCAAGAGCTTTTCCAGATTTCAATGCATTTTTTGGTGAAGCTGATCTTTCCTGTCCTCACTGCAGTATCTGCACATCTTCCATCTAAAATCAATAGGCACAGCATGGTCCCCCATGGGCTCCTTGCAGTTGTGAGGATGGGATGTGATGGGGAGAAATGAGATCAGCCAGTTTTATGGCCCAGTGAATAGTTATGGGCTTCAAGGGCTCTCTCATGGTCATGAACCTCCGAACAATTTCTGATTGTTCGAATTTCACTGCAGCCTTCCAGCTTCGTCATCTGCACTGCCAACTTCTATTAAGGTTCCATTAAAAGGCAATGAAACACAGGGCCT